AAAGGTTGTAATAACCGCAAACCGCTTAGTGTTTTGAAACCGCAATACCGCGAGTTAAAACGAAAATTACCGCAAAACCGCACCAAAAATAATGCAAAACCACATCACCGCAAACCCTTACGCCCCCCTCGTGAAAAAACTGAGGAGCTGTCACATAAAAGGACATGCAACTAGTATAAAACTAAAGCTGATACTGATTTAATAAATCTGTCTTTATAACAGGTGGCTTAAGAAAAAGAAACATGAAGAAGAATTAAAACTTGCAGCAAAGAAGAAAAAGAAACAGAAACCTAAACTGAAGAGAAAAGAGCAGCCACCACACAACTCACATAAGATTCGGTGAGTGCAGAATCAGGGCAGCAAAATGCCCTTTCAATCTCAAAATCAAAAGGTAAATTCTCCTCACTGTTCATCACACAGTTCCTTCCATGTTAATAATGGGAATTCATCTCTGGTTACTGTTCTGCTTTATTCGCTGATCGTAGCGATGCTTGTCTACTAATGGTGCTCTGATGCTGTGGAGGAAAATGTAAAAGCATGGTTAATTGATTGGGGAATGGTTTTTATGCCCAACAAAGTTCTTTCAATTGTTGTTTTACACTCATACACTTAGCATGAATTACGTAACTGAATTGGTTCTATTGGTGAGTTCCTAAGCCAGAATTAAACAACTATGTAATTCACGCTAATGTATGATCACAAAACAAGAGATTGTGCATGGTCATAGACCTTCCAACTCAAATCTAGCCATCTTTGTTTGCTCCTCTGATGTTTGCTGGGCTTCAAAACCATTCCCTTCTATTAACTGTGGCTAACATATAAAATGGGATAAGCTACACATGTAATTTTTTCTCATGTAATGCTTCCCTGCAGCTCCCTTTCTGTGCCAAAGCTGTTGAATTATCCTTTCCGAGGTTTTCAAAACAAAAGAAAACAGAACTAAAGAAAATTATTGTTCACTTTGGCAAAAGAAGCCCTTGTTACAGGAACTTAAATTAAGGCAGTTTCTTCAGAGTGAAGTAGCTAGCAGTGTCTACTCCCCATGCATGGGAAGTTAGTCTGTATTTGCATGGCTTCTCCTCACCTCCCCCCCCCAGCACTTTGACACGTTCTCCTGAGAGTTCACTAGTGTCCTGTTATACTCCTGAGTGAAGAGAGGGATTGTGAGAGATAGGAATCCTGCCAAAGAACACAACACAGTGATCTTGACCATAGCTAAAACCCAGACAGACTACTCGATTCTGTGTCCAATAAACTAACTGTATTGCCACATGTGACAGAAGTGACCAGTCTCTTACTTTTTGTAGCCTTCCATCTTAACTTAATTTGCACCTTACACCCATGGTTCAAGTCTGGACAAAATTATATAATTATATTTTTTCTTTCAAAATTATATTATAATTTGCAGACTTGACCTCATGCCACTTTTTCTCTGTTTCCATTTTCACAGATACTATGAATACTATGGCTACAGAAACACTGTGGTACTGTGACAAATATTCTCTTGCTGTGGATAGGAAATAAATCAACCAAAATGATGACTCATTGCTCAAACCATCTCAAAGTCAAGAGTCCAACTGGTAGAACGTCAAGTATCACTTAAATTACACAAATGCAACATTTACAATTTTCAGGGTCAGTTAGGGGTGTGTTTAAAAGACAAAATGATGAAATGTCACTATGGTTAGCCTACCGGTAAATGGCGCTTTGGTAAGCCTAGTAGCATCCTGTTAGCCTGAATAGCGTTCAGGTTAGCCTAAATATCACTGACCTGAAGGTGGTTAACTCTCAATAATTGCATGGGTTAACCTTATCCCACATTGTTAAGTGCTATTTTGCCATTTCATGTTTTAAACACACCCTCTGTTAGGCATACTAAAGGAAGAAAACTGAAGTTCTAGTAAAAACTGTGAAATATCTCTGGAAGAAAATACATGTAACTCTTGTGGTATTTGAAAGTTTTTCTAAGAAAAAGGGACATGTTAAGGCAAGTGATGGGGGAGTTTGGATAAGATTTTGTACCAAAGACAAAATTTCCCTTGAGGGGATCTAGGGGAATGCTCCTTCACAGCAACCTGTTACAAACATTTTCTCAAGGGTGGGGTTGGGGTGGAAGCCTCTTAACCCTCTCCAGTTGGGATGAAAAAAAAAACAATGGAAGAGTGAAGATATATTAAAAGTCTGTATTGTATTGTTTATCAGTGTCTCATGCCAGTGGAATGCCATTCCTAGTGTGCTTTGACATAGTGATAAATTTATAGTCTTGAAGGCTACACACACAGCAGTGTTCTCCAAAACTTTTAAAAAAGCCAGGAAATATTCATATTTGTTTCTGTAGATAAGTGAAGACCATTTAGTGTTATTTTAAAGATGATTTCCAGTCTGTACTGCGCACTCTCAAAGGTTTTTTTTTTTTGTTTTGCAACTACTTACATGAAGTAGATTCAAAGTTTCCTTCCAACCACCACTATGGATGCGAAGCTTTACGTTTTGTTCTTTGTGAAAACACTTGATAAGACAACTCCGTGGCTGTGAAAATCAAAGAGACTGTTGGGAAAGGAACTCAAAATGCCCCAAAATAAGGTAAGCAGTTCGTAACAAATAACATTGATTTGCATTCCATCAAGTGAGACTCACAAACATTGGGTTGCTGAGTTATATATTGGGGAGGCTCTGCCCAGAGGTTCAAAAAACAAATTTTCAGAGGGAAGCTAAAGCTATGACGTGCAAGTCCAAAATTATTCTCACTGCCCCCACCCCCACAACAATTCTGCCTGGTTAGGGCCATAGCTAGTAGCAGGTAAACCAAGCTACTTGCTTCACTCATTTTTCCATTTTTGTTGTTTGTAGTCATCATAAACACCCTCATTGCCTCAGTCAAAATTTTTTCATGGACAATGCCTTGGTCATAATTTTGGGTTACAGCCCTGCTTTATATATGATTGTCTTATTTAAAATTAATCGTGATCTTCACACCCGTAACAAACTTGTTAGTTTATGAGTGAATTGCATCAACAACAGCCAAGTTCACTCGTAACATTAAGGGCCAATCAAACATGCTCAGACATAACAGGTGCTATGCGGTACAGCCCTTACTGACTGACAGACCTGAATAATTTCATCTTTTACTTTACTCCTGTAATTAGAATTTCTTCCCAAAACCCTTCACTTTCCAGTGGGAATTAAAGGTTTGAATCGACTAGTGGTAACGTCACTGCAAAATACACTAGCCCCAGACCACTGGACACTACATTCTTTGCACGGTACAAACCCTTACTCTTTTATATGCCAGTTTAGATAGAAAAAAAAAGAGGTTTTCCTTTTATTTATCTTCCATATAGCATGGTACTCTTCCATGTACTTACTGTAGAAATACAGCATCCCTTCTCTAGGTTTGTTATTTTAGTAACCCCTCGTGATTCTTGGATGAATCAACCTCAAGTTGTGTCTGCGTCTTAAAAATTCTTAAATGGCAGTCTTCCCTCCCCTGTGCTATACTTCGTTGGTATAAATCTGCTAGCATTCAATCACAAATGCCGTTCTCTAATTGGTTTCGTTGTAGATACTGTAGATAGTGAGTAGCCCGGCAGTGTGCGGTTGTTAAAAAGATGGGAGCGCGGCTTCTTTGCCTTTTCGAAGTGTCTGTGAAGCGGATTTAGTTATAGTTTTTCACGACTAGTAGTTTTATACTAATTAAAAACAATTGGATTATTTGCTTTCGATTTCTTTGCGTGGTAAGAGTCTCGAGCCCCTAAATCCAATCGTTAAACACACTTAAACATGAAAAGGGTACCCCTTTTGGGCAGAACCTCCCCGTATATTCCACTTTATTATATGGAGAAGAGTGTTTTACTGGGAACTAAACCACTCGTAGATTCCATACGCCACTTCAT